AACAAATCCTTTCCAGAAACCCCAAATCCTTATTATTTATTAAAAGTCATAGATAAACATGAAATACTGAAACACGCCGTATTTCACCAACGTAAAGGCTTGTGCCAGCATGAGGAATGTATGAGGTGCCAATTTTAGCATACACGCACTCACTGCTTTAGGCAAGATGTGTAACTTAAAAGATACAAAGTACAATGCAAATGTTGTAGAATTTCTGATGCCGAACAGAACTTTCGACCCAAAATATATCATATTTAACCCCCAACATGAATATCTCCAATACTTTATACATGTCTTGCAACCAACAACATCTTGCAACCAACAACATGCAACCAACAACATGCAATCTACATGGCCTATTTTTTTAAAAAACCCTTAACCTTATATCCATAATTTTTTTTCCTCAATTTATGGTTACAAAACCTGCAACTGGCAGACTGAACCTGTTTTTCGCACCCACAATTGCAAAATTTAGAATCTTCAGTGGCACGCTTAGGGATATACATATAACGCGAACAGCATTCGGATGCTGGTTTTTCAAAATTGTAGCCCTTTTCCCTCAACCACACAAGCGAAACATACTCATGTTGAAAAATTTGCTCCCACCTGGCCTTAAAATTGGTGTTTTTGCTGTATCTTGAGATGGATATATGTTTTGACTCCCTCTCCTCCATCGAATTAAGACCAAGTCCTTTACCATACTTCACTTTCATATCTCTAGCATGCTCAGGAACAATGTTTCCCAATGTCCATGCAGTAGGGTGGTGGTCAAAATACAGATAATGTAGGACAAGATATGTTCGACAGTTTTTCTCCAAATCATCTAACTGTGAATCGATTACATCGATTCGACTGAACACAGAAACACAATCCCGCAGGGTTAAACACAAGTAAGCAAGTACATGAAATGTAAACAATGCCTTAGTTTTATCTTTCAAAAATGGTTCCATAGCAGCAATTAGAAACATGAAGTTCTGCAAAAAGCACCGAGAATCTTTTCCGGTGAATCTATAATCAAACTTGCTATCTCGGTTTTCATTGAACCACCTAATAATTTTGTTTGCAAGTCTTCTAAGATTGCACTTAGTTCTCATTGCATCAATATATTTGTGAAATGGCGAAGTGCTGGGAACCTGCAAAAAATTGAGAAATCAGTAATACCTCTTGTAGAAGTAGCCTGTGGGCTAGTGCACATGCATTATTTTTTAGGTGCAAAGGATCAATATGGATCCTATCAACCATTGGGCCTAGGAGTGGTTTAAATTCTTGCCTACTTCTTTTGCCGGCTATGAAATTAGTTACTTTGGATCGCTTAGTAATTTCTGCTATATTTTGCTTTGCGACAGTTTGCTTGAACGCTTCAACACTTTTGGCTACTTGTACCCTTTGCGAATAATTCCACCGATGCCATTTTTTGTCTTTTTCCTTGCCAAACTGGCCGTTTAAATTAGTGGCATCTTTGCTAGAAACATTGGCAAATGAGCAAAAATATGTGGCACTATTAGTCAACTCACCGCACAAAAATGCAACCATCTTCAAATCGTTAGGGAATTCCGAGATATGAAATTTGATATCAACTGTACATGTCTGGCTTTCTGATGTAATGTATGTGCATTTAAAAGTTTGCTGTTCAAGGTGTTGTACATCAGACACTAGCATCTTAATATAACGTTGAACTGGAATGCAATTTTCTGAACAATTAGCACCGAATAACAAAATTTTTTCATTGCTACTCAAAATTCCTCGGCCAATGTTCAAAAATCCAACCAACCACGCACATGCAGTATCATGTTTCCCAAAAGGCGCCCCATCACCACCCAGGGAAACATAAAACTTGTATTCTTCCTCAAACCACACAAGTGTGTGACCACTACAACCGCTTAAATAAAATTCTGCCAACTTTATCAACAATTCTGCCAAATTCCTATAACAACCATGTACTTTGTATTCCTCATCAAGACCTTCACAAAGTGTTTCATATACACTATACATAGATCCTACAGCTTCCTACTGGTATAGACTTTAGGCATTAATTTGTTATATGGCACAAGCCTAGGGATGGGACAATTATTGACGGATAGCCGAACACGTTTTTTACCCTTACTTTGCATAGCAATCTTGTAGCTGGAATCTTTGTATATTTTCCTATACTTTTTTTTCCGGCTACACCACCGCTATAATATACTGAAACGCTGCGAATCATGTTTTCAGTGGAAGACTCAAATTCTCCTAACTTAGGCTTGTAAAAACTAGGCATAACTGATTGATTAAACTTTTGATTAACCGACATTACATCTACTAAAATACTCTGACTACACTTAACCAATGCTGTGTCCACAATCCCTATTGCTCCCGGTACTTCTGTTTCTTCACTTCCACCATAAATTTTTTGAGCTGCAGCAAATGTTTCTTTTCTTCTCTGTCTCTGTACAGATAAACTAGATGAGAATTTCTTATTTTGAAACCTTGTAGGATGTTTCTTTCTACTCTCCACTTTCTACTCTCCACCATCTTGAGATTACAAAGCAAATAACTAAAAATTTCCGAGGGGTGTATTTATCGTCCGACGGGGGGAGGTCACGCAAGATTAGGAAGGAGTGAGGTAAAAATTTTTCGCCCGACGGGGGGAGGTGGACGTCACGCGAGATTACACTGTGCCCCCTCCCCCCCCAAAAAAATGTAAGCCAGCTACGGGCCTGATTTTGAGACTCATTACTGATTTACAGAAGAACAAAACAGAAGAAACAAAACTACACATCCAACAAAGAATACAAGAAAAAAGGAGGCTACAGTAGATAAAGACTAGCGGATAAATATGTTTAAAAAAAGCGCGCACTGTACATTATTACGGGAAATACCAAAGACGATTGCAATTTCTTTCTCTTTTTTCAATTCTTCTTTTAGTCTTTTATCCAACTTTTATAATTACTTTTATGTTTACAATAAATAATAACAAAATATTTAATTTGTGTTTTTGTATGTGTAAAAAGCGCTGTCTTTCTTCATTTGATTGTTTCATTTACCCTCCCCCTGTAGACTTGCTGAGAGATTTGGTGCACTCAATTTACAACCAACTATCCCGCCTACTCCAAGTGTAACTCAAGCGGTTGCAACAGATGACAATGACATGTGGACACCTGGGCAATGGTTGAGACCAAGCAGTGGAAGTTCTCAGGAAGAAGGAGCAGAGAGTTTGGATGCAGTGGTTCCCATGTATAATGGAGCTATGGCCAATTTATCAACAAAGACCAAAGTTGGAAACATCAATCCATTAACATTTCAGCTGAAATCTACCTGGGATGAAGCCACAGAGAGTGATAAGTAAATATGCATTGACCGCGCAATAGAAGGTTGCAGTGTTGTGTGTAACATTATCGCTCCAAATACCGGGGAGAGACTCTTAGAATCATGCGCTCAGATTCCTGAGCACGAGAGTATCTCTGAAGATCTAGTATCCCTTATGCAAGCATAAAAGAATGCACCTACCAAAAACCTTAAGACCCAAATTCTTAGTATTTTTGCTTACCGCTTCTCAGTTAAGAAGCTTCAAAAGCTGCATGAGCCTTATGAACATCTGACGACTTGGCAAGTAAAGAGAGCAAGAGCACATGCTCAAAATGCTGGACCTGGCTGGACTGTTGAAAAGTCTCCATCGTTTCGCGTGCGATTGGACAAGGTATTGGTTGATCACTTTGTGGATTTCATAAATAGACCCTATTTCTATCAGGACGTAGCATATGGAATCAGAAAAATCCAACTTGATAGCGGCGAGAAGCTTTCTATGCCAAATGTGATTCGAACTGTCACACGTTCGACCATGGTAAAACAGTATCTCCAGTTTTGTAAAGAAGAAAATGCGACGTCGCTAAGCCGTGCAACTTTATTCCGTATTCTCCAAGTCAGGGAATCCTCCCAACAAAAGTACTTAAGCGGAATTGACAACATTGCAGCTGATGGATCATCAGGTTTCGAGCAAATGGTTAAAATAGTCGAAGAGCTTGAACAGCTGGGTAAAGGCAAGAAATGGTGCGAAGCGACAAGAAAAACCATCCATGAGGGAAAGCGATATTTGAAGACAGGATATCGCAGTCATTGTCAACAAAGTGAAAGTTCCTGTGCAGACCACTGCCGTAAATTTTCTCTCAGTGACCCAGACAACTCAGAACTTCAAGAGAGGTGTACGCATGACCACACAAGTACCTGTAGCCAGTGTGAAGGTATCAAGGTATGTCTTATCAACATAGAAGAAGCTATTGAAGACAAACAAGTCAAAATGTACAGCGATGAGCAAAGAGGAGACTTTCTTTACGATTTCAAGAAAGCTGAAAAAGCCATCAACCAATGGAAGAATCATATGAGATCTGCGAACCAAGAACGAGCAAAGCAAGATGTTTTAAATCAGTTGGACAGTAGCTCCAAGTTATTGTGATGGATTGGGCTATGAAGTTCTTGCAGCTTCGATACCGCGAGAAACAAACTGACTGGTATGGTAAAAGAGGTCTTAGTTGGCATGTCACCAGTGTCATCTCGCACGATAAAGTATCTGGCAAGATCAGTGTTAGCTCGTATACTCATATATTTGATCAGTGTGCACAAGACTGGTATACAATTGCATCCATAATCGAGCATCTCCTTCTGCATCTCAAACAGCAAGATCCCCAGTTTGAGAAGGCTTACCTGCGATCAGACGAGGCCGGTTGCTATCACAACAACTGTTTAATTGCCGCAGTGAAAGATATCGCAGACAGAGTTGGAATCAAAGTCATGAGCTACGATTATTCTGAACCCCAAAGTGGCAAGGATGTGTGCGACCGTATCATCTGTCCAATGAAGAATTCCATTTGCACATATGCAAATGAAGGTCACGACATTCTTACTGCATCTGATATAAAGAAATCGCTTCAGCAACATCCAGTAAGAGGAACATCAGCTTCTGTAAATAATGTTGATGAGTCAAAAAAAGACCTGGTTATAATTGGACGGATTTGCAAGCTTTCATAACTTTCAGTTTAAAGATGATGGCATAAAGGTTTCGAAGGCATATGGCATTGGAAACGGAAAGCTGATTGGTTATGACAAAGTCTATCAACAACATCAAGGGCCAACAACACTTATTACCCAAGAAGAAGGTGAAGGTTTCTTCGTGCCTCCACAAAAGGCGAAGTGTTGGGATCGAAAAGAAAGTGCACTACCAAGTACAGAAATATTTGGTCAAGATGAACAAGTACATATCTTTGAATGCTCCTTTCCTGGATGTTCAAAAGTGTTTCGTGAATTCTCGGATCTAGAGCTACACCTTAATGCTGATGAGCATACAACCACGAAACAAGAGAGCATATACAACAAGATTAAACGAGATTGGGTGTTGAAGTTTGCAAGTGTTGACGTGGTTCAAGAAGCTACTGCCGAGGATGCCTTAGTTTCAACCTCTGCGGAAAAATCAAAACGAAATCTAGAAATGGGTTGGGCGATTAACAAGCTAACGTCTGGTTCCAAGCGTTTCTCTCCTAAAGTCAAAGAATATTTAACAAGAATTTTTCTACTTGGTGAAAAGACCGGACGCAAGGCAGACCTTGAGCAAGTTGAAAAGGACATGAGGAACTCTAGAAACACATCCGACGATCGTCAGTTCAGTCGCAACGAATGGTTGACAAAAACACAAATCAAGGGTTTCTTTTCTCGACTTGCAGCAAAACAGCGCAAGCAGCATGGGTTACTGGTCGGGTTTTCAAGTGACAACGAAGAAGATGTTGAATGTTTGTTAGAGGACACGGAAAGACGCGGTTTGGTGAATGAGATTCATGATGAAATCGGGCTGAAGCACCCCATAACGTATGACATGTATGACATTTGTGATTATTATCACCAAGACAAGTTGTCCACTTTCAACGTTCCAATGCTCAAATGAATCCTGACACAACTATATAGAAATACCTTATAAATCAAAAGACAAGAAGGCAGAGCTGATCAGTAAACTTAAGAACGTGGTTTCAGAATGTGAATGTAACGAGGTAAGGAAGTATTTTCTAGTGTTTTTATTTATCTTTATATTCATCATCATCTTTATCATTATCACCATTATCATATTTATTTATCATCTTTTTATTACTTTTTATTTCTACTACTTTGCGTTTATCTAACACAAGTGTTTTATTAACTCTCAAACACAGCTATAAAGAGTTCTTTTCTCAATTAACAGCGGAATAACGCAACCAACTTGCCGAGTTTTGAAGTCAAGTGATAAAGAAACTGGGCTCAACCATGACTAATATGCACTCAACATAGTGCACGCACTGGGCTCAACCATATGTCCACTTACGCTGAGATGCACTAAAAGGCAGAGCTGATTTGTTAACTCAAGGATGTATAGTAAGGATAAGAATAATAATAATATTATTAATAATAATAATAAATTATTAATGATTTAAAATATTATTATTATTAATAATAATAATAAAAAAGGGGTAAATTTTTCGTCCGACGGGAGGGGGCGTTCGTACGTAACGTGTGACTGCCCCCCTGGTAAAAAATTCCTGCGTATGGCCCTGATATATTGAATCACACCTTGAAATTCCCCACTTTCCATTTTTAATTTTCTTTAAACCCTACTCCCCAAAACTCCCCCAGTCCCAGAGCTACTCCCCCTTCTTCGAAGCGTTGGACTGAGACCTAATCAACCATTGTAAACAATACGATAGAAGCAACAGCAGGATAAAAGGTTGTGTATTTTCATACATTTTGCAAGAAATAGAGATTTTCGCAGCTCTTTTGAGTTTTTGAGAGTTTTGAAGGGTTCTTTAAAGTGAATTTCGTATACCAACCAACCATCAGAAGAATGTGCAAGTGTAAGTGGCAACAAAGTTCGAAAATTATTCCTCCACGAACACACAAATCCGAGAATCGTTTTTGCAATTTTAATACGTCTTTATACATAGGGTAACGTTTAATCCGTTCAACACGCAGGTAGTCACTATTTCCTTGCAATATTTTTGTCAAAGAAACAGTAAGAAATGTTTTTCATATCACAAAAAAAAATATTGAATTTAGTGAAGCAATAACTTTTTTACACAGCCTTAAAGTTTGATGTATTTTGAGCTTGTCAAAGCTCATTAATTACTCGGCACGGCAGTGTCATTTGAATGCTCGAAAAATATCGTAAATACATTTCTCAACAAAACAAAATCGATTTTTGTGATTAGCATGGGAATATCTATCTATCAACAGAATATAGGGAAAATCGATTTTTAAAACGAAAATCAGTGGTCGGTTTTTAGTGAGACAGCCTCTTAACTCTTTCTCTCTATAGTTCCACCTCAAACGCCCTATCTTCAAATCTATCTCGTTGTCTACCCTCCTCTCTTCTGATTTCTCTCTCCTCTCTCTCACGTTCTAAGTCCCGCTCAAAGCGTAAGAGCTCCATCCTCTCCCGAAAACTAAAGTATCCCTGGGAATTTCGCTCCCATTTTTCATCGGCAGATCACTGGCCAATTTCAATTTACCCAGGCTATCTGAAAGATTTTGCATATGTTCATCATTCTCAAACTCTCTAGGTTGCGTATCGTGAGCTAATGCTTGTGCCTCATCCGTTTTCCCAACAACAAAATTTATATCATATGTACGTAATCTGGCAGCCAATGTCTTAACACCGTCTTTTGAATTTATTGTTAATTCTCTTCTAGTACATTACTCCCGTAGCGCATCTAATTGCCAGTCATTATAGTCAGTCATCCTGACACTACAATTTACTAATAACACTTCGCAGCCTTGATTATCCCACCACTGCCACCAATTGTGACGATTTCTATCGCCGACGTGGGCGCTGCAGTTCACAATTACCTAAGTCAATAAAACCCAATGTACTACAATTAACATAAAAGTTAATTCTGTAATTACTAAGAGTTATCTACATGTAATTTCCTAAAGTATTTTTTTAACAAACCCGAGTCCAACAGACTGTAGCTCTTTCTTCAGCTAGCCCACAGCGCTTAATATTCCGCGTAGTATCAAACACATAACAGCGTCGTATCTTGTTTGTTTAGAATTTTAGCGGCTGTGTCTTATAAACAAAATCGTGACCAAACTTGCTGACAACCTGAACATTCTTAAATCGCTTCGAAGTGGTTTTCTGTCGATCTCAAATGAACTTGGGCGTATATAGTCAGACAACTTCAGTATACTTCCAACAAAAGCAAGATGTCTTTCCAAGTTGTTCTTCTCCTGAAGGTCTTCGTCGGTTTTTAAATGTTTAGGAACACCTTCCTTGCTTGTCCTGTTTTTTCTCTGCTCGCTTCAAACTCTGGGCTCCTTACATAATCCATTAATTTACATATTCATAACATATAATAATAACACAGCTATTCTTTTATCACAGACTGCCAAAAAACAGAAATTGTGTACAAACAATATTTATACCAAATTCCTTCTATAGATGGACAATGCCATCGTCTGTTAGTGCCATAATTTATTAAAACACTGTATAACAGCTGACCTGATCCCAGAACCCAATATACATACAATTAACCCATTCGGCAGAATAGTTTTTAACCCATTCATGGGAGACCTTGAGTAAGTAAAATCATCTGGCAATAGACAGAGTAAAGTAATAAAGTAGAGCACATTGTGCATAATGCAACATGACAAAACAAATTAAGAGTGACCTTGTGATTCAATAGGGACCTTTAGCAAATAGGCGACGGCAACGCGACGGCCAAAACAAACTCGTTCAAATAAGTAACTTTAAGATCAACATGTCTTGTATTATCCGTTGTATGAATGTCATGCAATTTAGAAAGTTAAGACAGAGGTTTATAGTTGAGAAGACTTCCACTAAGCCAATTTGGCAAGGACGACTTCTCGCTGCTTGAAAGGCAGACGTTGTGTACAAAACGTGAAAATCTTTGTTTTGCTATTGTAAACAGAGCAAGGACGACGTCTAACACTCCCAAGGGACTTTAATTATGCAATTTCTTTCTACACTGTCATAAATTTCATTGTGTTAATAGCCGTCGCCGTCCTGCCAGCTAAAGGTCCCTAATATGTAACCTAGCACAGTAGGCAGACATCTACACAACTTAACCACACATTGAACAAACAAGGATAACTTGTGTCAGCCACTGTCTGGCAAATAGCCTTTGACTCTGGTAATTCGATCCAATGTCGGATGAACAATACATACATATACCTTCTAACTTAGGCAAGGACATGAGCAAACTATAAAGAGTGTGGCACCCACCCTGTTTCTTGTTCACCTTGACATTCGAGCAACTGGTAATATGTATAATAAATATGTTTCATTTGACAGTTCAAATCACCAAAATTGCTTAATTGCTTCTTATTCTTATGTTTTAATATATACTCAATTTAATAACTACCCGGCTTGAACCATTGACACAAGGCTTGGTCTGACGAATTTGTCAACAGTGATTGAGTCCGTGGCATTTACATTTTAGCTATCTGGGGCTGGTTGTTCAAAGCCGGATTAGCTAACTTAGCTTAACCTCAGGTCAAGCTAAAATTCAAAGCAAACTTGCAAACTTCCTGACGGCTTATTTATAAATTTGGAAATATTTTATCAGAGATCTTGTCTGGATTGGAATTTTAATATTTCTCTGCAGTTTTGAAATACATAAACAGACGTGCAGAAATACACAAACTAAAACAGCAGGTAAAGGTTAAATTTTAACAGGGTTGGCCCTATAAGTATAAACCCACCTTTGACTGGCCCCTGATGGACATAGCATAAAACGGTTAAATATTAACACTGGGTTCATTGTGGCCGAATGAAAGCATTCTGTGAGGTTTTTCTAGCTTTGATACAATTTGTTTATATTTATCAAACTGGCCAAACAATGCAGCTGACAAATCGTGATACAAATTAGTAATAAAACTAAAGTTATAAATTAGCTAAACGAAAATAAGCAAACATGACAATAGAGCAAACGACAGTATTTAATATAAAGTCAATAACTGAATAACACGATGCATATAACAGCAAAACGTATTTAGGCTATAGCACACCATAGCGTTGTCGTTGTAAAGTTCGGTTCAGCGCTAATGTCCGTAGTTTAATGCTACAATTCTTTGAAAGCCAGGTTGGATCCAAAATAGTTTATACACCCTCTCTTTATATCGTAAAATAATATTGAAGGTCTAACGGCGTGTCACTTTTCACACGGCAAATTCTTTCCAAAACATAGTCTGCGATAACTCCTCCTTGGCACCTTGCACTCAGAATAAGTTACATTGTCGAATGTTCGAGAATGTTTACTTAATCTGTAAGCGTGTGCTATAAAATTATATTAAACGTTATCAATACGTTTTACTCCGCATATAAAAACTGTTCATGTATAATGATAATGCATGGTCTGTTTCTACCGTTTCAGCCGCCATGTCAGAGTTCTCAAATTCCCAACGGCGAATGTGCGAAGTGTCATTCAAATAAAAGTTAATTAATCCCCGAGCCGGCGGCGAGAAGCGCCGTGCGAGGGTACTAATTCCCCCCGGCTATTTACACCCGGGGAAACGAAAGCATTAGCGGAGTCTAAAGTTCATCAAATATCGCGGGCGTGGGTCACCAACGATGGGTGGTCATCCTCACTGACCTCAAAAATATGGCGGACTGTCATGAATAGCGGACACTGATTGGTCCAATTTAAAGTTTGCATAAATGACTGCATCACGTCAGCGAAATAGCAAATATTTCTTGATTTGATGATTCATGATTGATAAATTTCTTGCGAATATATTTCATTTTTACTCGCATTTTTGCAATATTTTGTAAATTTCAAAAGCTCTCGGAGAAAGAAACTGCGAAAGAATCGGCTAAAAGAAGGGAGCCGACGTTAACGAAGGTAAGTTTGTTTTAAATATTGATTTTATAATGGCTTTAAAACCCAACGGCCTTTGCGTATATGCAACAACTAAACAAGACAGAATATAATTTCAGTGTATCTTTAATATTTATTCCCTTTTGTATTATATTGAATTTTTTAAATGAAAAAGAAAGCAAAGTTATTTGCAAGCGAGAATTTGAAATCATTTTATTGCAAACTCAAAGTTTATCGATAAACCATTTTAATAATTAAAGGTAGTCAAGTTAAAGAGCACTTTAAAACGTTTTGCGAAGCGTTTGTGGTTGAATTTTACCTTAAATTGAGGCTTATATTACGTATAATAACATACCTAAGATATATATGTTGGGAAATTAATGATTTTGTAATTAAAAGTGATATTTTTAGGCGATTTCTCATTTGTAAGAATATTCTTAAAAAAATATCGTGTTATGTATCGATCAATTCGAAACTTCGCCATCCCCCCCCCCCGGGCCGACCACGGGAATTTGAACTTTTTGAAATTTGACTGATCAAATTCTCCACCCTCTGTGCAAAAAATGTCTTCAAATGCCCCACTGTAACAAGAAATTAAGCGTTCAAATGCCCCACCTTCATATGAAAATTATGAAACAGTAAATACAAAAAGTACAAAATATACGGAAATGTTTTCGACAAGATAGCGAAATTCGCGTAAACAGTTTGGATACCTTGTGGAAATTTAACAGTTTTACACAGTTATGTAGTACATACCTTCAAATGAAACACATAGATTTTCCATGCCCGTTTCTTTGAGCCAGTTTTTTCACAAAATTGAGGCCGTTTCCTCGAAATCTGAGAAAACTGTATTTGCCGCCAATACGAAGTATTTTCTGTGCATGCAGGAAGCACGCGAAAACGGGCAACATTTTAAGACTTCCGGTTCAAATTCCCCACCCCGTTATCAAATGCCCCACCACATGGAAGACTTAGAACGTCAAATTCCCTACTCCCTGGAGAAGACTTGAAGTCAAATTCCCGGGGTATGCCCGGGGGGGGGATGGTGAAGTTTCGAATTGATCGATACATTACCATGACAACTATTTTAGAACTTCATGTTCGGAACATACAATGGTTTTGTCAGCAAGGCGAGGGTTTCTGCATGCATGTATTTTCTAGTAGATAATTACTGAGGCCAACGGCATTATTCGATATAGAAATTCTGAACCCCTTCTAGCTTTCTTCGCCGTAAATATTCCGCTTATGTTCATTGATTTCAAATTTTCAGGGTTCAGAAATTCTGAACCCCTTTTAGCTTTCTTCACCGTAAATATTCCGCTTATGTTCATTGATTTTAGATTATTAGGGCTCAGAAATTCTGAACCCCTTTTAGCTTTCTTCACCGTAAATATTCCGCTTATCTTCATTAATTTCAGATTTTCAGGGTTCAGAAATTCTGAACCCGTTTATATAGCTTACAATGATCAGTATTCTGTTGTCTTTTATTAATTTAGAGAATCTTATACTTAAACCTTGTTTTTCATCACGTTTTTGCGGAAGAAATAGTAGAATACAAAGATTCCGTATAATCCGACAACCAAACCGATATTTGCGCTGTGGAGTCAACATTTTCTGGTTAATTTCCTGTTTTCTGCGGATATTTGTAATTGGACGCAAAATTTACTTTAAAATATGGAATATGCGTTAACAAATGCGAAATTTTTCGCTTTTAATATTTTTAACCAGTTTTTGCGAATGTAGTATTGAAAGAAAATCCGCACGGCTTGATTTTTACGTCAATTTTTGCGCAAGCTTTTTTATTTTTGCACATATTTTGGGAAAGCATCAAGATTTTGCGGAAAAAAAGAAAAATTCCGCATAATTTAAAACAAATACGCGAAATTGCGTGCTTTGGAAAATCCCAATTTAGTTTCGAACGCGTTTGATATTAAATAACGTAAACTTCAATAGTTTTCCACAGGAACGTTTTCTCAAACCAACCCCCCCCCCCACCCCTCCCCCTTTACTGTAGATGTATCATTGTACCAAAACTGGACTCCCTCCTTTAGGATCCTGTAGCTAAAAGCCTGGTTCTAGGGGTGTCCCAAGACACCTGGACGCCCTTCTGGCTAATAGCCTGATACGCATTCATTAGTTATAACCACTCAACATATTTTCAGTTCTAGAATGTTGTATTTCGGCTAATTAAAAAATTGTTACTCAGTCTTTTGACCATGTGGAAACAAGGCTATGTAGTATACTTAACCAACACCAAAGGTGACATTTTTGGGGACACCCTATACATGTGCCTGTGGGTTTATACACACCCCAGTTCCAGCGGTATTCAAAAAAGAAACACTGGTTGCAGTTCAAGTGTTGTGTTTTGTCACCTGGAGTTTCTTGACATTGTCAAAACAGCTCAACTGGTCATGGAAACAATGCTTTTAAAGTATATGCAGCTAAAAACTTAAATTAGTGATAATTCATCAACAATTGGCCAA